CTTTATTTAGAATTTGTCCAGCTATAACAACAACTACAGCAGGTTGATTATCTTAAAAAAAATAAGATGAGCAACTGCGTTTTACTGAATTCTGTTATAGAAATGTTTTCTTCACTGCTAACTCTTCATTTTCAGTGATTTTTTTATATTCTGGTTTCTACTGAAAAATTCTCCATTGTAACAAGTTTTGATGAAGTCTCTTCACTCTGGACAATTTCTGCAAACCCAAATTGAGTAGCTGATTTTGAGTTTATCCCCTAGAGTTCCGAGAACTGCCCTGATTAAAATTTAAAATGTAATTACAGGTAGCACACTGAGTCAGCCAGTTAGTCAGAGATCTGAGCTTAGTGCATGCCTACTGCCTGCAGCATACTGCACTAAGTGTTCTGAAGGAGGGCAGGAGTGGGTGGGAACAGTCACCCACAAAGTGGTTTAAGGATTATTATTAAAACAATATATCATCAAGAGCAAAGTACTCAGGTAGAATCTATATACAAAAGTTAAAGAACTGGAGAGTAAGGAGGACTTCATCTCCATTTTAATGACTTCTATGTGGTTAGGAAATGTGCTTTGAGGCTGTTGGTCGCTTTGGGAGCATAGTGAAAAAAGTTAAACTATTGGTCTGTTCACAGGCAGGCTGGGTTGGTACAAAGCAACCCTACAGTTTCTTTTAAATGGACATTCTAATGGAATTCAGTAAAATGGTCAAGAAGAAATCTTTTATTTTGGAGCAATTCGAAATTCACAGAGAAGTTACAAAAAATAGTGTAGCTAGCTCACATGCCAACATCCCCAGGTGTCCCCAGAAGTTAACATCACCATAGTAAAGTCCTCAAAATCAGCAACTAACACTGGTGCATTGCATTTCAATAAAAGCTGGACTTTATTCACATGTCATTTCTTTTCCACTAATATTTGTTTTTTTTTCTATTCCAAGATGCAATCCAGGTAGAAAGAGATTCGAATATCTCAATATTGAGGTTCAAACATCTTGAGTTTCTGAACAATGCAGGTAATCAATGCAAGACATTGCTGTTGGTAGAAATAAAATGAGCTGAGTGTCTAAGAGTCATCTGGACACACCATACTGCCAACTTGTCAACCAAACTAAAGGAAAAGTCAACCTGGTTTTGCAGTCAGTCATGGATCTCTCTTTCGTTTACCGAAAGGTGCTGATTATATCACATTTTGCCATAACTGCCAAGTATTTTTATTGCATGTACATAATAACATGTTGCAATAAAGTCTTTTAATACTGCCTGGTTCAGTCTTGTCTATTTTTCTACATGAAGGAAGACATGGGAAGAGACTAATTTGGACTTTAAATCTGCCTGAAAGGAGAGATCACTATGGAAGTTAAAGGAACATGTTTCTGGGTGTCATAAGATAAAATCAGACAAACACTACTGGGTCTCCAATATGCATATGCATCAAGAGCACCTGGAGGGCTTGTTAAAAAGACAGATGTGTCTGTCCTAGGGCCTCTGGTTTAGCATGACCCAGGCATCTTCCCTTCTAATAAGCTTCCAGATACTACGGTTACTATTCACTAAGTTGAGTCTTCACAAGTGCTTGTCCAAGAGAAACAAGCAGTTTCAATCATAGGTTCTTAAGTTTCTTGCTCATGTGTCAGATATGGGATCTGATAACTCACTCTAGTTCTGTGCAAAAAGTAAGTTAGGAGTGGGGCAGTGGTGGCACGCACCTTTAATTCCAGCACTCGGGAGGAAGAGGCAAGTGGATCTCTGTGAGTTCGAGGCCAGCCTGGTCTACAGAGCAATTTCCAGGACCAGCTCCAAAGCTACAGAGAAATCCTGTCTTGAAAATCCAAAAAGAAGAGAGAGAGAGAGAGAGAGAGAGAGAGAGAGAGAGAGAGAGAGAGAGACACTGGTATTTAATAATAGAACACTTCATCTGGTACCCAACATGGGGCGCAAGATCATGGGAAAGTCGCTTGCCACTGGCTTTGCCGCTGCATCACCACTCCCAGTGAGCTATGTCATTCAGGTGCTCCCCCCAGTGCCCTCACTTCCTGCCGTGTGTGCTTCTCCTGTACATCCCCATGTGTCTGCTTTTCGGGCAGCTCATTCCTCTCCCCATGGGTTGTGGAGTTTTTCTGGATCCCCTCCCCAGCCACTACTGTGCTGGCTCGATCACCTTGACACCCACTCACACCTGCTTGGGCTTCTACTACTGCTGCCACCACCACACACCCTCAGTCCCTGGCTACATAGGAGCAATTGCTTGTGTCCTCAGCCTGGTCTGTGCAGAGCAGAGGCAGGCCACTGTGACCCCAGCATCCTTTGTACTAGTTTGGTTGCCTGGCACCCCGCCACCCATGGCACAGTCGAATGCCACCACAACACAGCTTTGCTGTCACCATAGGCACTGCTGTGGACAAAATGAAAAATCATCAGATTTGGAGAGATGCCTGGGAATTCTTACAAAAGGAATTAAGTTTATCTTAAAAACACTTTCCCATATTAAAAGTGGGTAATATTGTGATGCACAGAGTTAGGATGCCACAATGGATGGTTTGAAATCTGAAAAATTCACAGTAATTTCGACCAATTGATTTGCATGTCATTTCTATGTGTATGTGCACATGTATATGTGTGACAAAAATGGTATTATACATTTATCAACTTTTGAAAGATATGATGAACCAATATCTTCCACACTTTTACAAAGACACACATGGGTAAAAGATCTATTTGAAATGTAAGACAAAGTACTACATTTTAAAGTGTGTAACAGAATATTAAAAACTTATTGATGTGATTTATTGATATTTACTCTTTTTAAGACAGGGTCTCACTATGTATTACTGCCTGGCCTAAAACTCACTATGTTGACCAGGCTGGACTCAAACTCACAGAGATCCTCCTGCCTCTGCCTTTCAAGTGCTGGGATTAAAGTTGTGTTCCACCATACCCAGTCCTCATGGCAATTGACCTTCAAGAAGATTACTACTTGTCAAAGTTTGATGCAGTGCCAAATACCAATAATTTTCTGAAGAATCTCTTAATAATCCTCCCTCAACTAGTTGTATGAGGCCAGATTTTTTTCATGTATTTCAATGAAAATTTCCTATCAATAGAGAATCTATGCAAAAGTTATTAATTCAGCTAAAAGTCCATAAAATAATATGACTCTTTACAAATGTTTTGGTTCTCCAAAATATGATCATTTTCATAAATTAATAAGTTATTAAATAATGGTTTTATTGCTACAATACTTAAATATACACAAGCTTTTTAAGGCATAACTTAATTTTTATTTTGACAGATATAACTACATAGACAAAAATCTTTTGGGGAGTTTACAATAACTTTTATGAGTATTCTGAGACAAAATACCTGAGAATAGTTAGCATAAATTCAAGATTGTAGTTTATTACCTTACATTTAAAATGTTTGTGTCTGATTTGATCACAATGTGTGGGTTAAACTTTATAGACTATACATTCTTAACAGTGGATTTCCAAGAATCATGGTGATATATCCTGAGAAATATTTTTACTAGACAATTTCATCATTGTGCAAACAACATAGTGTGTACTCATACAAACATCAGCAACATATGGCTATCATTTGGCATGGCCCTTTGATTTAATCAAGAAATATGATAAAACATAAAATATATAAAAACTGTTCCAGCTGTAACATGGCACAGTATTTTACAGGAAAAATGTTGTAAATAGGAGTATATAAAGATTAATAGTGTAGGACAGAAAATACACAAACCAGCAGCACTACATCTGCCAGTAACGTAGTAGTTTTTCATAATTGTAATGTCATTTTATATGACTGTCATCATTTGGCGTTTACACCAGCATTACGACAAACATAAATGTGTTCTGCCTCGGCTTTACAATAGCTCCATCACTAGCCAATAGGATTGGTTTCAGCTCCGTAACTGGAGACCTGTAGTTGTGACTTCTCACTATTCTGTATCTGTCTTCTCAGCTCTCCATCAATGTGTGTGGAAAGTGTCTGGGCTTGTGACTTTCTGTTGTTAGTATAAAAAAGCTTCACAGACATGCTTCCACACGGAAAAATGCTATTTGGGAGGCCTAACCCTATGTTTCCAGGACATGGTTACTCATTTTTGACTCCAGAATAAACTACCTCTTTTTTGCTTTGAGGTGAGAGCTGTTTTTAAGTGTTTTTTTCAGTTCACTATCGTTTCTTACCCCATCCATCTTCCCTCAGTTTTTTCTTAAATAATTACTGAGTGCTGTTTTTATATGTAAATCAAGAAGGCTGTATATCTAGCTTTGTGAAGAGTGGTCGCTCACTTAACATTAACAAAGCCCCATGTTTGGGCCATAGCACCTCAAAAATCAAACAAAATGTCAGATCATATTCTTTTTTTTCCCCTCAAAATACACCAAGAGATCTGCATTTTACATAAAACTCAGAATCTTTACAAAGCCCTGACAGGATCTGCTCAACTTCAAGCCTCCTGTCCTCTTTCTCCTAATCCTTAGTCCGACTTCAGTGGTCTGTGGCGTTTGAATAGTGGCCATGGCTGCTGCTATGGGGTGCCCAAGCTGTTTCCGTCGCCTGGGTAACTCTTCTGCATAATCAGCTTGTCTCAGACTAAAGGCTCTGCTGTCGGATTACTGCATAAGCATCTTTACTTCCTAAAATCTCAGATCAACTGCAGAAGCACAATCTGAGAACCATTTGAGGTTGCAATGCTCCTTTTCTCTCTTTTCGTCCTCTTTTATTTTGCTGTTTTTTGTTGTTGTTGTTTAGATGTCACATACTTAGAGCCCGCCACAGTTTGTGGGCCATTTTGTCTTTTTGTATCAAACTGTAACTAAATAATGCAAGGAGTGTCACTCAGCACTCAGGATCAGTGAAGGAATCTAGGAACTCCTCTGTGTGTTCGTACAGTTGGGAACAAAACCCGATTTTAAAGCACCAGATTTGATGAAGAGCTTCCTTCCCCCGGAAGTAAACACGTTTGACCCGGGTCACGGACAGAAGCACTTCCGTTTCCGTACAGAGGCAAACAACATGGCGAAAGCCGGCGAAAAGAGTGTGGCTGGCGGGAAGCGAGGCTTGAAGAGGAAAGCTGCCGCCGAAGAGCCTCAAGAGGCTGCGGTCGCGGACGATGGGGCGGCGGAGAGTGGGGCGCAGCCCCGGAAAGCGGCCGCCTTTCCCCCGGGCTTCAGTATCTCGGAGATTAAGAACAAACAGCGGCGACACTTGATGTTCACACGGTGGAAGCAGCAGCAGCGCAAGGTACGTGCGTGGCGGAGGCGCGGGTACGCGCTCGCACGGGGTGGGGGGCTCGCACGGGCACACGCGCGGGGTCGGAGGTCGCGCGGGGTTGGGGAAGATCTCACGGGCACGGGCTCTCACGGGTTGGGGGTCGCACGGGCTCCGGACCCTGCCTTTGCCGGGCCAGCCACAGCGTTGGTTAATTTCTCCGTCTAAACTCCAGATCCCAAACTCTGCTGCTTTCAGGAACTCTGACTGAAGTGATTAGTACTGTCAAGTGTCTAAGAGCTGCGTTTGCTGTCTAGCGCTCTGTGCTGGGAGGAAGCATAGGCTAAAATACAGACTTGTGAAGTTTGCCTAAGATCATAAGGCTTATTTATGTCTAAATTGCAGTTTGAAAAGCAAAATTCATGACTACTGCATATATAAAAACTTGATGTTTTTAATTTTTATTTGCTTGTCCCATTTCCTTACTGAATCCTTTTGTAAGTGTTCGGCTGTTATAACCATGATCTTTAGAATGTAAGCACTAGAGGAAAAATACTTGTTATATGTTTAATTTAATTGGAAGCTTTATAGGAAAATTTAAGCTACTGAAAGTTTAAATGTTCAGACTTAGTATCGATTTGACAAAACAAGCACTCTGTTAAATCCTATTGATTAGACTGCCTGCTTGTGGTTCGGTGATTTAACTTGTGGTTCGGTGATTTAGCTATTAAAGGATGATCTGTCTGGTGGGGGATGGTAGTGTATACCTGTGATATCAACACTAAGGAAGTGGAGGCAAGGGGGCTGTTGTTAAAAGCAAGCCTGGACTACCCAAGCAGACTTTTAAAATGTTTTGTGTGCTTACTTTAAAAGATCACAGTAATTCTCAGACTGTTCCTAGAACTAATTTGTGGTTTTAGTATGAGTTTGTGAGTTACCTGCTGGTTTCTCAATATTGTTTGTTTTTATTCCATTAGGAAAAGTTGGCAGCTAAGAAGAAACTTAAAAAAGAGAGAGAGGCTCTTGGTGATAAGGTAAGTAAGGTTCTCAGCCATGTAATTTGTATTATATATAAAGCAGTATTTCCTAATAAATACTATGTTGCTTTCCTTCTCCTAAAAACATTTTAGAGGTTTAAAGTTAACATAGCAAATCCCCTTCTACTCTTTACCCACCTTAGCAAACTGGGGAAAGCCCATGGCCTGTTCTCATAGTCAGCCGCTCGTGTGAAACTGTTTAACCCCCCCCTGAACTTTACCTTACTTAGTGTGTTATGCACAGACAATAGACACAGTGATGCTGTTGTTGGTCAGGAGGCAGAGAAAGCTCTCCCTGGCTTTGGGACCTGGGGACTCCCCACTTTAGGTGTAAGGGTTTAGCTCTTGTGACTTGAAGCTAAAAGAACTGCTCAATACTCCAGCATTGTTGCACAATTAAATTTTTCATTTTTAAAAATTTTTATACATATGCTTAGTTTATTAATTTGTACTTACAAAGTTTTTTGTTTTTTTGAGGCAGGGTTTCTCTGTAGCTTTGGAGCCTGTCCTGGAACTAGCTCTGTAAACCAGGCTGGCCTCGAACTCACAGAGATCCACCTGCCTCTGCCTCTGCCTCCTGAGGGCTGGGATTAAAGGCGTGCACCACTACCGCCCAGCTATACGTATGTATAAAATTTTAACACACGTGGTTCTCTCCAGTTCTATCCCATGTAGCTGTGTTAGAATAAGGATTCCTGAGGAAGGAAAAAGTGTTCAGACTACACAAACAATACTTTTATATGCACTGTACAAATAGCATCAGTTCAGATCATATACAATCATCAATATTAGGCTATTTTGAACTTCAGTGCTCTAAAATATCATATAACATTAGTATCTCTGAAACTCCCATAATCCGCTAATTGCAGCAAATCAGTGTGCTAGTCAATCTTTAGCATTATCACTGGCCCTGGGCTGGGAGTGTAGTTTACTAGGCTTTCAATTGGAGTACACAACACCCTTCCTAAAAACACAACAAAAATCAGTTTGGGGACTGAAAGATGACTTCCTAGAATTATCTTCAAAGATTACATAAGAGCTGGCAGGATATCTCAGTAAGGTAAAGGCTCTTGCTGCCTAGCATGGCAAATTGAGGTGGAAGGAGAATACCACTCCCACAGATTGTACACCTTAAACACATATACACCCAATGTCCTAAATGATTTGTCAGCTTATATTTCCTTGATATCCATGTGTGGTGTCCATGTATTTTGAAGTACGTTTAGTATTATCTCGTAATTCTGTTTTCCTCGGCGGTTTGTTGATACCATTTCTTGAGCTAAGCGGCATGATGAGTCTGCAGTATCGGGTCATGTGATGCGCAGGGTGTTGGCCATTACCCTGCAGTTGGACATTTGCTGTACTGATGTTTATTTCCATTATGAATGGCCACCCCTACAGACCTTTTATTCTTGTCATAAATCCCCCAGTAGAATTTCTAGGCCACTGGGCAGACTTTTGTCACATTTCCGAGTAGATCTCAGGAAAATAGAAACAGCCCTTGGATTTGTGCCTTTGTGGTTTTTTTCCCCTTCTGTTAATTCCCTTTTTCCTGTTAGATGTTTTTCTTAGAGAGGGATTGTGATTTCTGCTGCTTCTGCCGCTCAGTTCCCTGTCTGCCATGCCTGTGTCTCTTGGGGTTGTAAAAAAGGTAGCATTATTGCTCCATTTTCTTTCAAGTATTTATGGAACTGTAGTTGTGGTTTGAAATGAGGAACAGATTGTTTGGAGGTTACTTGAAGACTTTGTCTCCCAACTGTAATGTGAAGTAGTTCATAAAATGCTTCTAAACCTCGGCGCTTCCCATCTTCCTTAGGCTCCACCGAAGGCTGTTCCTAAGACCATTGACAACCAAAGAGTCTACGATGAAACCACAGTAGACCCCAACGATGAAGAGGTAATGTCAGACATCTGAATGCTCACCCTTGGTGTGTTGGTGGCTGTAAGAGCAGGCTACCCCCTTCTTCCCTACCTCTTTGTCCCTTACCCCTCTCTTTGATATTTGGCTCTCCCAGAACATTTGGGATGGCACCGCATCGTGCCAGCACAGGGCCCTGTGTTTATCACTTCACTGAGATCTTTCTTAAATACTGAAAATATACTTCAGTCAGTTTTGTGATCTTTTCCATACTGGTTTTGCTTGTAAGTCTTGTTAGAGCTACTCCTGTCCTGTGTTTTCTTAGGACACATGTGTCTCTGACACTTGCTCTGTTTGATGGTTTGTGAAGAGCCAGTTCCTCTCACCATAGCTTACCTAAACTGCCTTCTATGAATTTAGCTAATAATTATTTCAATTATCCATTGTAAAATTTTGATAGTTATTTCTCCAGTGACAGATCTCTTCATTTGTCCTACTTTTGTGCTTACTGGAACTTCTGATACATTGTTGAGTAAACAGAAAGCAGTGATGGTGTCCTTGCCTTGCTCCTGATTTGAAAGAATACTGCCGATTTAGCCTCCTTGATGTTTATGCCATCAGTGTAGGTTTTCCATATGCTTTAAAGAAATCCCATTTATGCCTTGTTTTGTCATGAATGAGTATAGAGTCTTCCTCTGAAAATATTGAGATACTCTGTATTTATTCCCCATGTTACCTTTATGCATCCATGGGTTTTCTGATGTAAAGTTAGCATCTTGCATTCTTGGGATAGCCTGTTCTGGTGTGATGCTCTGTCTTGTTATTTTATGGTTTGGGGTTGTTGATACTTCTTAGACTTGATATCTATATTTGAGCTCATGCATTAGAGTGTCATTAACTCTCCTAGTATTCACTTTTGTAAAAATTAAAACTTCACTGTAAATATTGTGCAGATAAAAATCATTACCCAGTGAGAAGAGCTAGACCCACGGTCTATATTCTAAGAAAACCCATAGTTTAGCATTCTCTTTTCATTAGGTTTTGTCAGACAGCTTCTTTGTGTTCTTTTCAGAGTAGTTTAATTTCTTTAATCTTCTCTACTGAATTTTGTGTTTCATTTCTGTCTCCCTTGTTTCCATCTACTTTCATTGAGTTTCATCTATTTTTCTTTTATCAATTTGCTCTTTTTGTTTACTATGAGCAACACAACTCCCTTTGAGTATCACTTGTGTAAATCCTACAAGTTTTAAAATTGCAATAATCAATAACTTTGATTATTACTTAAATCAAAGTTTCTCTTTTAGTGGAATAATTGTTGATTGCTCACAATTTATTAGTTTTTTGTTTGGTTAAATTTAATTGGCGTGTTTATAATTTGTATACCATTCCTGATGATTAAATTGTAATACATTTGTGGCTCAATATCATTTCTGTATTGTGAGGACCTTCAAACATCTCCATTTTTTTCTTTGTTTGTTTGTTTTGTTTTGTTTTTAAGACAGGGCTTCTCTGTGTAGCCCTGGCTGTCCAGAAACTCACTCTGTAGACCTGGCTGGCCTTGAACTCACAGAGATTTGCCTGCCTTTCCCTCCTGAGTGCATATGATAAATGGTTTTAGACTCTAATGATTTTACTCTTTTCTATTTATATTTTACAGAATTAATTTCTCCTTTCTCATCCTCTCTGTGTCTGGCAGGTATCATTTGCCACCGTGTCTTATTTCATTAGTTTCTCCAGTCTTTGGTTGATGTGTTGTCTTAGGCTGTATTTGGTGCCTCTCCCACTCTTGAGCTTCTTAAGGAGGATGGATGGCTAGTTTTAGACTTATAGTACAGTGTTTGAAGCTCTGATATCCCATGGTTGCTTTAACATGGTCCATACATTTTGATAGCTTGTTGCTTTTGTTCTTTATTTAAGAGGTTTATTTTCTTTTGTTTGGTGGAAACAGAGGAGCTGGGGATGGAACCGAGGCCCTTGTGCGCTCTAGGTGGCCACACTCTCCAGCCCAAGAGATTTTCTAATTTCCCTTTTTATTGACTTCAACTCATTGATTATTGTGGGTGTTAATTTATAGGTATTTAAAATCTTCTGGATTTCCTGATTGTGGGTGATTTCTGTTAATTCTATCATGCTTGCTTAACAGACTTCCTTTCAGTTAGAGGCTTTAAGTCCTAGCCTGTGGTCTGTTCTGAGGAATGTTGTGTTACCCTTGGAAAACATGGGTTTCCTATTGTTTTAGGGGGGATTATTGTGTTGGTTGATAGGCTGCCCCTATCTTACATACTCTGTGTGAATTTTCTTGTCCCTGGGGAAGAATATGGATACTCTACCTCTCAGCTGCTTCTCCATGACTGAGTTTTAGTCTCCAGTTTCAGTTCTTCTGCTAGGGGCGTGCATTTACAGTTATGTTGCTTAATTACTTGTGTGCATTGTAATTACGTTTTCATGATGTACTGATCCTTGACCCCATAGAAAATACCCCTTTTTATGGAGCAGCACTTCTTAGTGTCTGTGCTGTGTCCATGGAGCCAGGTAAGCTCTCTCCTGGGGACTCGCTCCACAGCTGCTTTTCCATGTTTCGCTTTGAAGTTATCCGTGGACTTGAATTATTTATATATATATTTATTTATATATTTATATATTATTTATATATATTTACATGTTATATATATATATATATATATATATATATATATATATATATATATGTTGCTTCTTTGGTCAGACTGAAATTAGTACTTAATGTCAGTTATAAACATAGCTAGATTTTTACATCATCGCCCCCCCCCCAGCCACTTGAATTGTTCTCAGTTCTTCCTTGGCTATTTTCTTTGATGTTAATTTGAGTGTGCTCTTTTAATTGTTTTGATAGTTGCCCTTAGACTTGAAACATGCATGAGCTATAAGAGCTTAATTCTTGGCACTGGAAGGAAACAAGCAAAAGGCACCATGCATCTTTAATCATCCAGGTCTGGTGTGAAGCTGCATAATTCAGCTAACCCATGGAGAGGTGTTGTTGGCCATATACAGCATGTTGTCTGTGTACCACCTAGAGTCAGAGTTGCTACATCAATTCATCCAGAGCTTTTCAAAGAAATGAGAGTGTATCTTCATATAGTTCAGCCTTCTGTGCACACACAGCTTTGCCATGTGAGCACCTGTTTCCTAGGCCCTCTAGGTCTGCCTTCCCATCTAGTGTCATTCCTTTCAGTTTAAGGATTTCCCTTTTGTCCTCCTGGCGGATTTACTAGCTGCTGATTACCCCAGTTGTTTCCTACAGAGACAGTTTGCACTTAGAACACACTCTGCAGCACCTGCTGATCATCTTTCCTCATCTCTCCAAGTTTCCTTGTGATTTTAACAGCTTGGCTCTAATATGTTTATTATTGTTGCTCTTTATAGCCCACTTGGGATTTGCTGAGCTTCTTGAATAAGTCTTAGTATTTTCATCAAGTTTGTCTTTTTAGCTGTGATTTCTTCAAATGCTTTTTCTACCTTTCTCTTCTGCCGGTCACAAGGCTCCCTTTACACAGACTGTCGAAGTGTTTGACTGTGCTGTAGTTTCCCCAGCTTTACGTTTCCAGGACGGTTTTCTCTGTTCTCCATACTGGGCCAGCTCGGTGGTGTCTGTTCGTGGCTTTTCAGTCCACTGATTCTTCTGCTGTGTCCGTGTTTTCTTTAAATCATTGCACACATTACTCAGAGCTGCTTTGCCATCTGCCAGATTTCACATGTCAGCCCCCTCAGCTATCTGCTAATTATCTCCCCTAATTTATCACACTTCCTTTTCTACCAAGATTTTGCTGGAAGTTATTTTTACATAACATAGTGTTGTAGTTTTGACTGAATATTATTTAATTAGTTTATTTGGGGTTTTATTTATTTATTTATTTATTTATTTGACAGGGTCTTCCTATGTAGTCCAGGCCACCCTGGACCTCCCTGTGTAGCCTAGCCTGACTTCAAGCTCGTAGCAGTCCTGCCTCAGCCTCCCTGGGATTGCAGGACTGAGTGACTGCTCAGCTCCAGTTCATCCTCTAAGGACTGTTTTGTGGTCTCTGTAACTTGCTTGGACTTTAAAGTATGAAACCATTCTCTTCTGGGCAGTGGCATGATGTCTGCTCAATTCTTGTTGTTTTGTCTGTAAACTGCCTCGCTACTGACTGCCCTATTTTTATTACATACCTTATGTCATTTGGAGATTAGGCAGGCAGTTGAACCGCTGGAGCCCCTCAGACATGCACCCTTCTCTGTCTGAGCTGTGCACATGTGGAGGAATGCCTTCCGAGCTCCACCCGTCCTCACTCCCTGCCTTCCACATTCAGTGCTTCTCAGGTCTCCCTCAGCTTGTGTGAGGTCAGAGCCACCTTGGGTTTGTGGTGACACCTACAACTCCTCCTTGAGAGCATCGCCTTTAAATTTCTAGCTCTCCGTACTTACCTTCAGTTAGGTCTGCAACCCTGGTTTGACAAAGCTTCGTGTTTTCAATGTTTCCCCATTAATTTAGATTCTTGTCTTCTGCTCCAGGCTGCTACCCCCGTCCTGGAAGCTGGTATTGCTGTTTTCATCCACCAGCATGATGAACGGGACTAGCATTAGTCAGGCCTGGTATTCTTGCCCATGTCTGTAGCCACTGTGCAAGAATACACACATCTTAGTTTGTGCCCTGAAAGCATTTTTGATAGCTACCTAGTTTTATACTCGAATTGTGCGGAAGGTGAGTCAGCCACTTCATGTCACTATTGATGTCACCTCCTCCTGCACCTGTCAGCTAACAGTCAGTGAAACAACATTTTAAAATCCAGGCTCAGTGAACTGTTTGATACAAAATAATCCGTCCTCTGTTTTCAGGTGGCTTATGATGAAGCTACAGATGAATTTGCTCCCTACTTCAACAGGCAGACATCTCCTAAGATTCTCATCACGACATCGGATAGACCTCATGGGGTAAACACATTGATTAGTGTAGTCCGTGAGTTCTTATGTCATATTTAAAATGCTCTATTCAGAAAAGTGAAGTGGTTAATTGCCTTTGATAATGATAGTGAATAAGTAAACGGAGATAGCTGATGGTACGATGTAGGGTTACTGAGCACAATTCTTCAGGGTAGTTTTATAATCTTGACAACTCTTAACATCATAGCTGAATAACTCCTTGTTATGAAGTGCTATCATTATGGGATGTTTAGCAACATCCCCAGCCTCTGTCCATTACAAGCCAGCAGTATCCCTACCCCCTGCGCCAGTCCTAGCCACAAAATGTCTGCAGACATTGCCATGTCTCTGTCTCTATGAAGAAGCTCTGCTCCTTGTTGGAAACCTGGCTTTGGGGTGAATGGCCTTTGACACAGGAGACATTGCTCCGCCTTCATCCTTCCTGTCTGTTCATTTCTGGTAATATTATCTTTGAATCATCATCAGTCCTGTCCTTGTTAGTACATCCTTATTCCTTTTACTTTGAGTAATGTCTCTTACCTTCTTACAGAGAACAGTGCGGCTCTGCGAGCAGCTCTCAACAGTTATACCAGATTCACACGTGTGTTACAGAAGAGGACTGGCTCTGAAAAAAATTATTCCACAGTGCATTGCAAGAGATTTCACAGACCTGATTGTTATTAATGAAGATCGTAAAACACCGAGTATCCTTTGGGTTTCTTTGTAAGGGAATTTTTCTGGCCCTTTTCTTGCCTATTTTTAAACATATTTGAAGGACTAGGAAAAGGATTCCTATAAGTTTTAGAATGGACATTTTTTCCATAGCATTGCATCTATGCAAGGTGCTGTAAGATGGTTTTTAATTCATGAAAACATTTATCAGGCAAGTGTCACAGTTAAAACACTGCTATAGTGTAAAAGGAGACTGCACATTGGTTTCCCGGCTGCCCAGACCCTAATAATCACAAAGAATCTATATTAATTATAACACTGCTTGGCCAATGGCTTAGGCATACTTTTGCCTAGCTCTTATATCTTAAGTTAACCCATTTTTATTAATCGTCACAAGGCTCTTGCATACCAGAAAGGTTTCAGCAACATCTTTTTCCTTCTGCAGCTACATGGCATCCCTATGACTCTGCTTTCTCTCTCTATATCTCTGTTCAGATTTCCCGCCTGGTTTTACTCTGCTAAGCCATGGGCCAGAATAACTTACTTATTAACCAATGGTAGTAAAACATATTCACACATATAGAAGGGATGTGGAATATTCCACATCATCCACCCTTTTCTGTCTAAATAAAAAGGAAGGTTTTAACTTTACCATAGTAATATTATATATAACAAAATAGTTATTAAGCAAGAATTACAGTTACAATATTTTTTGTGAGTCTAAAGTTTTATATCTAATTTATTCTTTATTATAACTAAGAAAAACTATTAACTATTTGTCTTTAAACTCTTTAAAGAAGGATAAAATATTATTTAAGTAAACAAGAAATACATTAAAAGAAACTTTTAAAACTCTAGATTTGACAGAGACATCTTGCTGTCAATCACTCAAAGAACCGAAAGTTTTTCCGTAACACTGGGGCATCCATCTTCAGCCTATAGGCCCATAGTAACTGGCAGACTCATTAGTGAAGCAGGAAATTTTAAAATCTGTTTTGTCGTATACTGGCAAAGTTTGTCAGTTTCTGTGTGTGTGTGTGTGTGTGTGTGTGTGTGTGTGTGTGTGTGTGTATGCTTTGTAGAATTTCTGGCAGTGTTTTTTCTGTAAAGCAGGAACCTGAAGGACCATCCTGTCCTTTGGGAAATTTAGCAGTCACTTTTCTGTGGGTCCTACATGTCCAGTTTATACAGCCTCACTGTCAAGAAAAGTCTGTTTTTAAAACATTTTAAATGCCGTATTTTGTAGGTTGTTGAAGTTTTGGATTATCTATTTAACTGAAATATATCTCTGTATATCTAGAAAACCTAACTAACATGACTACAAGTTTGACTATTATAACTGACTATTAATTTGTATTTTTTAATTATACATTGCATTTTTAAATGAGAAAAAAGAGCAGAAATACATATACAGAATATAACAAATCAACCTTAGATTTGTATCAATAGACCAAGATCTATACTAATGCAAAGTATTTATATCATATCTCCCTTTAAATGAAAACAAACATTTATAAACAATCATTTTGGGAATTTGGTGTAGTTTTTAACTGCTTCCCGCTGTTTGTTGGGTGAAGTATTCTTAGGGTTCATGGAGACCTTTCCGTGAGGGTAGGGAGGGTGTTTCATTAAACCACATTAGCTTGGAAGGAATCCACAGGTTCTCATCTTATGTGGAAATAAAAACAGAACCTCTTTTCCAAAGTAACATATCCTTAGACTCCACAATTTTGAAGTTAAGATATCTTTTTGTTGGTTTAACTTAGCAGTCCCCAGAACCAAATGTTTCTCTGCAATTAGAAAATTTAAAGAAAACACAATAATATGCATCATTCAGACTCTCTATGTATATTTTATCTTTATGTGCCTTATTTATTTTATTCCTCTAATCTGACTGTCTGTACTCTTTTATATTACTTTTACTGTCTCTTTAAAGACTTTATTTTTTTTCAACTATTTTTATAAATAACTGTTTATACTCTTTCTCCCAAGCTTTTTTAAACATACTGTGACCCGTTTAGAGGTTTATTTCTGTCTGAATCTGTCTTTATTGCGTATTTGTAATCATATTCTGACCAGGAGTGCCTTAATTTTTTTTTTTAAATGTTAAGTGTGCATGGCTAAGATCAACGTCCTGCCTGCAGACTCAGCTCTGTATAGCATGGTGGAGGTATGTTCACCACCTCTGCGAGCCATGCTCACCACCCCAACTCTAGGGAAGCAGAGGGTCTATGTTGTCTATGTTGCCATTAAGCAACTTGTAGCGCTTTGCTCACAAACCCTAAGTACGCTGTAGCCCCACCTCCTGAAAGATCCAGAGCCATTCATTCTGCCAGCACTAACCAGGAAGCCATGTTTTAAAGGATCCGCACCTCTGCTTGTGGCTCACAACAGAGTCTATTTGAAAAAAAAATGTGACTACCAAGAAGCTGTGCTTGACTCCTTTTTTCGTTAGTCTAGAAGCCCTCTTCTTTTTTTTAAGCTTTTTTTTAGTCTTATGTGGATCCATGCCCCACATTGTTCACCATTTTGTAAAAGGAGATTGTGTGTTGGTTTTCTGCCTGCCCAGGTCCAAATAATCACACAGAAACTATTTTAATTATAATACTGTTTGGCCAACAGCGTAGGTGTATTTTTATGTGGCTCTTATATCTTAAATTAACCCATTTTCATTAATCTGTGTATTGCCATGAGACTGTGGCCTACCAGAAAGGTTTCAGCCGCTTCTGTCCCCTTCAGTAGCTACATGTTTTCTCTTTGACTCAGCCTACTCTCTATAGATCCTTGTTCGGATTTCCTGCCTGGCTTTACTCTCCTAAGCCATTTGCTAAACAGCTTTATTAACCAATGGTAATAAAACATATTCATAGCATATAGAGAGGAACCCCACACACATAATATAACAGCAGTCAGCCTGCCATAGGGAATTCCGGCAAATAGTCCTGTTAACTAACAGCACTGTTCCAGCAGCGTGGGGGGAGGACTTCATGGGGACACTTGAGCCAGGTCTGATGAATGAAGCGGAGCAAGTCAGTGGGAAATGAGGCAGCATAGGAGCGCTGGCCCTGCTGCCACCATGTGTTTGGTGTAACTTCATCCTAGGTTGTAGGAAGCGTGTTGTTGTGAGGTTGGGTGGAGCATGCCATGTGCTTGGCGGTGTGTGGGTGTCAGCAACAGTGAAGCGTTCTCTGTGTCTCACATCTGTCATACTGTCTTCTGACCCCAAGGTGTTTCTGTTGAGACGAAAGGATGTAAAATACATCTAGCTTTCTTTTTGTGTTTGCTATTATTTCTTGAATAGTACCTATAATTTCAGTACTTAGATGACCAATTGAGTGAGTCAGATTAGTAAAGAATTTATAAAAACAGCAATAGGACTCTCTGTTCTGCCACAGACAGCACAACACTCACTGTTCTACTACACTGCATTTTTTTAAAATCCATTTTTCACAGCTTTCATTGTTTTTATATAACTTAAGTGTGTTATTTTGTTCGCCTGTATTAGTTTTTTAGAAACTAAAATAGACAAAAGCTAGCTTTTAATGTGGCAGTTGTTGACTAGATTATTATTTGGTTTGACTAGATTATTATAATTTTTATGCCTAATTATTCCAGAAAAGAACAATTTTTAAACTGATTGCTGCCGTTATAACTACTTCCCTAAATAAAGTGACGAGGTCGGCTTTGGCTGTAGCAGTTAAGCTGTGATCATTTAAAGCTGCTAACACAAGCATTCATCAATTTAATGTTTTCTCTTTGCTTTAATATTTCATATAGGTACACAAATGACAGCATTTCCAGCTTTTAGAAAGCCTGCATTGTTTTGACAAAATAAATCTTTTTATCTGAAACATTTTTTTTTTACCATTTAATCACCTTGTGGGATGTGATTTCAGCCCCTTTTCTTCATTAATAAAACAGGCCACAGTGACTGTTTTCCATTATTTATGTTAGTTTAACAATACAACTTACGTATGTACCCAACAAACAAAACACTTTATTTGGGAACCTATGAAACGGGAGTCTTTGCTTTTGACACAAGCCACAATTTAATAGGATTAATAGATTTAATAATTTAATTGAATTAATAGATAAAATTCAAACTTTACAAAGGTTTAAGAAAATTATTTTATATCTACTGGTCTCCTTAATTTTCATGGTTTTGTGAATGTCCAAGCAGCAGGAAAGTATTTGGCTATACTTCGTGAAGTTGAACCTGGAGTGAATCTTTAAATAGAAGAACTCAGTATTTGCCATTAGCCTGTTTAAAAATAAACAAAAACCAGTTCTAATACACTGGGGTTAGCAGAAGTTGGGGGAAAGGCGTTTTCCTGACTCCTAACTGCCATTTTAAGTGAGGAGCACTATAGTAAGTTAATTCTAACTGTAAGGATTTGCAGCAGTTCTTAATGGAGAAACGAAATACTACACATGGTTGAAATAACTGGGGCCAATAACTCATTACACGTCATAGATAAGATTGTATGAGGAACCACTTGGGAAAACGGGATACAAGAGATGAAGTTTGTACCTACGTTGCTGTGTCAGACTAATGCCTTCGTTCTGAACCTGAGTCAGTGATGACGATGGCAGGAAGCTCGTCCTGCTGTTGAGACGGATGCACAGTTTCCTGTTGTCATTAGAAAATGTGGGGCAGGTGAGATGACCCAGCTAAATCCTGTATGGCTTATTTTAGAGAACCTAGGGCCAAATCCAAACTTGATTATCATCTGTACCAGAAAATGTAGCTGAAGCAGAGAGCACCAGCTGTTCCTTACGTTAGTGACCCAGGTGGAAATACCAAGTTGGGAGGAGGTGATGGTAGAGGGGAAATGTTAAGTGAGAGCAGCGGGGCTGCGAAGGCTGGGGAGAGCTAATGGGGCAGTGGGGACAGTATTGTCCTGTAAATCTCATATTGTGTGCACATAGCTGTGCAATGTTTTGGTTAGGACATAGTCTTAGTTTCCTACTGCTGTGACAAACCACAATGACCAAAGCAACTTCTAAACGAAAGTATTTAATTAGGGGACAGCTCACGGCTTCTGAGAGTGGGTCCATGCCCATCATGGCAGGGAGCATGGCGGCAGCAGGCAGGCACTGGAGCAGGAGCTGAGAACTTCCATCCTCTCTACAAGTTGGAGAGGGAGAAAGAAGACAGAGAGACAGAGCAGACCGCCTGGAGAAGGGTTTTGAAGTCTCAAAGCTCACCTCAGTGACAAACCTTCTCCAAGGCCACACCTCTAACCCCTTGCTAAACAGTCTTCGAACAATTCACATATATGAGCCTGTGGAGACTATTCTCATTCAGACCCCACATCCTAAGGTTGCTTGAAGGCAATAGAAAATTAAGATGACACATAGGGATGATGCTTTTTTTAAAAAAGATTTATTTATTATGTATGCATGTATACCTGTAGGCCAGAAGAGAGCACCAGATCTCATTACAGATGGTGGTACCATGTGTGTGCTGGGAACTGAACTCAGGTACTCTGGAAGAATAGTCAGTGCTCTAACTGCTGAGCCGTCTCTCCAGCCTGGTTAATGCTTTAAAAAAAAAAATGGGTGTAATATAGCTTCTCCTGGCTGCCTTTAGTCCAGCCGTTCTCAACCTGTGTTTCATGACCCCTTTGGTAGAGGTTGAATGAACCTTTCGCAGGGGTTGCCTAAGACTATCAGAAAACTCAGATGTTTACATTATGATTCATAAAAATAGCAAAATTACAGTTATAAGGTAACAATGAAATAATTTTCTGGTTGGGGTCACCACAACATAAAGAAATGTATTAAAGGGTCGCATCATTAGGAAAGCTGAGAAACATTGCTTTACTCAGTAACGACAGCAGCTGAAGGGTTAAATTTCAGGCTGCAGTAAACTATCTCCATCCCTATAAGTACTTTTTAATTTTGAAATTGGGTTAAAGTTGCCCAGGCACAGGCCTTGAAATTTTATCCCTCTTGCTTAAGTCTCTAGGCATCTGGACTGCTGGCCTGGGCCATCAATTCTAGTTTTTCACTTTTTGTTGCCCCCGTCACCCTTAAACTAAAAGCTATTATTAACTGAACACCCTTGGTCAACCACTGCTTTTAGTTTTGCCTGCTTGTTCCTAATTTATTCGTTGGTGTTGAGTACCTTTGTGATGCCAAACCGTGAAGGCTAGTCCCTTTACTGCAGCTGGGACTCTGGTGCTTTTGGCTGCTGTACTTGCTGATAGGTAGGTCTCATATTTAATCTGTAGTTTAAAGTATCTAGCATTCTGTTCATGCTAGACTATAACTAGATTATAAAGGTTGATTTTAATTTCTCATTAACCCAAAAAGATTTTTTCTTAAGAAATAACAGTTTTACCAGGCGGTGGTAATGCGTGCCTTTAATTCCAGTACTTGAGAGGCAGAAATAGGCAGCCCTCTGTGAGTTCGAGGCCAGCCTGGTCTACAAGAGCTATTTCCAGGACAGGCTCTACAGCTACAGAGAAACCCTGTCTCAAAATAAAATAAAATAAAATAAAATAAAAATAGCAGCATTGATTTCAGTGTAACAGGAATTTGCAATCCTGAGATGATTTTCTTACCATGTCCTCATCTTACAAACAGGACATACAGTGGAGCTGAACTGATATACCAGTAGCATTGAATCCCAGCTTTTTCCTTCTTGAATAGTGATCATTGGATAGATTTTTGTTATTGTATTCTTTGACTTTGAAAGCCCATGGTACCCTATTGACAATGATGGTATTTAATTGTAAAAAATTAAAAAGTAAGACTCTTCTAGATTAGTATATTTTTTTGTAAGATTTGATGTGGTTTGACTTTGGTTTGGTAGAAAAAAATTCAGTTAACCCAGAAGAACAAATAAATCCATCTACTAATTTCTAGACACCCTCAAACATACGGAAGGCAACTTATTTATGCAATTTAGGGCTCATATAGTCTGGTGTGTTTCTTAACCTTTATAAACAGATGGCCTTATTTTGAGTCACTTGCCAAATGGTCCAACTGCTCATTTTAAAATGAGTAGTGTTCGTCTTCGTAAAGAAATTAAGGTGAGTTTTATGTATTCCTTGATCAATATTGGTCTCAGGTTATCAGTAGATTCTTAATAGATGTTAATTGTTTGACCTTTGGATGACAGCAGGTTGTTGTGAGGCCATAAACACTTCTGACAGTAGCAGTGTCCTCTTAACACGAGTGTTGATTTTCTAGTAGGGTTAACATTAGGCTGTGTTCAGTGCATATTAACACATTAAATATGTCTTTGTGGGTTTGATAAGCCATCTCTTACATTTCTGTCATTTTAAGAACTTTTAAGTCAGGATTGGTAGCTCCTGCAGTGGGATTACTCTGACCCCGAGGAAGAAGGGCTAGGGTTTTAGGGAAGGTTTACCTAAGCAGTGCCAGACCAGTCTGAGCCGGAATGAGACCCTTGGTCAAAACCAACAAATGAATTATTTTTAGTAATTTTCTAAATTCTAGACCCAAAAATTATAACGTATGGTTCTTCTCATTATCTTTACTGGGCATTGTACTTTTTTTTTTTCAGAGGCGAGGCAAAGACCCCACAAAACATGTTCCCGAGATAATTCTGAATAACTTTACAACACGGCTAGGGCATTCTATTGGACGCATGTTTGCTTCTCTCTTTCCTCATAATCCTCAGTTTATTGGAAGGCAGGTTGCCACCTTCCACAATCAGCGAGATTACATCTTCTTCAGGTTTCACAGGTAAGGGCAAACACTAACTTAGACCTTTTTGTCTGTATGAACCTGTTCTGATGTAACAAGTCCTGTAAGCTTTTCCATAGAAAATGAGTTTGAATGAACCCAACTGTTCAACTTTTGTCTCTGAAGATATATATTCAAGAGTGAAAAGAAAGTGGGAATTCAAGAACTTGGACCACGTTTCACCTTAAAATTACGCTCTCTTCAAAAGGGAACCTTTGATTCTAAATATGGAGAATATGAGTGGGTTCATAAGGTATGTGATGGCTGTTCTAAAACCAGTTTTAACTATGTATTTACATGTTCAGGTGTATAAGAGACTTTCTTCCCCATAACCTAGAAAGAAGTGATGTGGTATCTTGGCCTGCTAGTAACGTGGATTTGCTTAAGTAGCCCTAACAACAGTGGTCTTTAAACAGGACCAACATCAGCCTAGGAAGGGGAAAAATCTAAGGCCCAGACCTACTGCGCCAGAATGGCTTCCTGCAGCAGGCTGTTAAGGCTGGTACAGTGGCTCTGCTTGACTGTTTGAGAACTACCACTGTTGGTTTCAAGAGCACTGGAAAGCACCTTAGGAGTTGAGAATGTCTGTAAGCATTTCCTGCCTAGTAGCAGCAGTACAGCCTTCCCACTTTTACTTTCTCAGCTCATTTAAATTCAACCTTAAAACTGTCAGGGTCTCAGATATACCCATGGTGTTTTAGCAGTGTTACTCATAAAGATCTATGAAAGCCAGCTTATCTAAGTTGTTTTTCATTGTCTTTCTTCTCTATTTTTCAGCCACGGGAAATGGATACAAGTAGAAGAAAATTCCATTTATAACATACTAAGGGAGTAGTAGTGAATTTTGCTGGACAGACCTGTCTTGAAAATCTCGGTAAATTATTTAACAAAACACCCTTTTTCAAAATGGAATTTATTGATTTTATAAATCTTACATTTGAACAAATGACCAGGTGCCATGAATTTCCACTGTTGGAATAAATAAATGTAGTTTTGGTGAGGGTCTAAAAGTCCTAAAACTTGTTGTCATTTCACATTAGCTGTGAATAGTTCTATTGGAATGAAGATTCAAACTTTCTAATATGCACCCCAAAGGACCCACAGGCTAGAAGTATTGTTGGTAGATAGTGTGTAGCCCTGATTGTGTAGCCCTTACTGCCAGGGCTTGGCACCAAGACACAGGTCACTGGAGTTAATCTTTCAGTTCCTGTTTTCTTGCTCTTTTTACGCTAATCATGTCTACTATCCTGCTTCATTCAAATACTGTCTCACATTCTCAAGTTTTGTTATTGTTGGTTTTGTTTTTGGAGACGGGGTTTCGCTGTGTAACATGGATGTCCTGGAACTTCCCAAGTGCTGGGATGAAAGGCATGCTACACCACTACCTGGCTCAAGTTCTTGGTTTTTCTAATGGGACTGTTATTTCCAAACTAAAGCAACTACCTTCCTGGTTTAACTGCTAAATGTACTACAAAGGGTTTTGTTTGGAGTCTTTTGTTGTTTGTGAATCCAGAGGACAGTGCCAAGTACCTGTAATCCCTTTCTGTATTATTTATTAGACAGTCTCATTAAACCTAGAGCTCACCATTTTAACCCATGCTGGTAGGTTAAACAACAACAAACCCTCTCCCCCAGCTCTAGTGTTACACGGCAGATACTCTTATCTTACCCTCTGAGCCACTTTCTACCCGTATCGGGGATATTTAAAGTAATTTCTATAACTAGCTGAAAGAAAGTGCAAGTCTCCCAGTCTTGAATAAAATTTTGCAATAGCCTTTAAGTTCCTAGAAGCCTTGCCAATGTAAAGCATTGAATCTAATACAGTGCATTTCATAGCAATAACAAGGCCAGAAATTTGTATGCTGTTTTATTGTACGCTACAGCCAGTGTATATAAAATAGTTAAACCTTGTGAAACAGAAATCCATGAAGATTCAGAGAGGTAGACGTTAAGGATTGACAAGTAAAGACTGTATTATGGCACGCGTTAGAGAAGCTTCTGTACAGACTCCAGATCTAGTTCTCTTCAATAGCCACTGGTTTAAGAAACCTGATGGAGAAAACAAAGATAACGTGTCAATAACTTTTAAAAGACATTTTTATCAGTAATACTTGGGCAAGGACAGTTGTTTTTATTTTTGAAAATGGTTTATGTTCTGCCTGTTTTCCTGAGTAATAACATACAGATGATGCTTTTCCACTTCACAGTGGTGTAAAAGCAGCACACGGTAACGCTGTTCTGAGCTGCTGTGCAGCAGCATTGCGGCGCCATCTCTAGTCCACCCAGGACCCCTCAACTACCAATGACCCTTGATAGATTTTCAGCTTACTGTGGGTTTGCTGGTACACACCCACCATAAGTCAACCCTCTGTTTCTAGGAGGCTCATTTGAATATGAGTTTATAAAGGGTTTTCTAATGAAATTGAGCCTAAGCCTGCTTTTCTTTTTACCTTTGAAGATGCAATCTACAAAGACACTAAAATCCAACTTTTCCCTAGTTCTCACAACTGGCACAATATCTATCATCCTGTGTTATGGCGTCATCCAGATCACACCGCTAAGATTACTACTGAAATATACTTTATCAGAATAAAAAGGTAAACATAAAAACATTCAATGAGGAAAATCCCAGGATCCTTTGAAAAAATAATTACTAAGATGCAATCATAACAATATACAGAAAACATGCAAGGACACAGAACATGCGACTGTCAACAGCAACAACCTTAATGCAGCCCATGAGATGAATGAATAGACAATCTACATATGTAACAAAATACTACTGAGCAGTTTAAATGACTCAAGAATCCATACAGGATCTCAAAATTGAAGCAACAGTTATATACTTAAAAACAGTCTTACCTTAAAACTATAAAATACAGTTAAGTTTATATATATACGGGAGAAAGAAAAACAGGTATAACAACTTCACAATAAGTTATTATAGAAAGTAAAACCTGTTTTTAAAAATAGGGTGTAAAAAAGTAAAAATTTGAATACTTCATAACAAACAATGAAGAGGCACAAAACCTCTGGGGAAAAAAACAGAAGAAAACATTTAACTTCATTTAATAGCAAATTCAGCACACACCAAAAAATTACAAAACAAAACAAAAAAAGCACCCATGCACTGAGTGGAAGACCAAAGATGGGCAGTGATAATCAAATTTTATTAAAATTTCTAAGTCACTGTTTGGTAGTTTTACCTCTAAGGTTCACAGACAGCCACCAAAAACATCAGTCTTGGCCTCAGACCTGGGAAGTAGATAGCCCAGCTGTTGAAATTTTACTGAGATAAAAATTCTCTTAAGAGTATTTCTAGTGGTCATTTCCTTTTGGCATTCTCTGTTGCTCTGTTACTTAAGCTGGTTTTATTTTTAAAAGCTGCATGTAGACTCTGGTGATTTTACTGTGTCTTTAATGTACACTAGACCAACAACACAGGTTGCAAAAGAAATGCAGGTTCTGGAACCTTCCCTTAGATCCACTGGGTTACAATATGCACTTTAGGAAGACAATCTGTAAATTTACTCACGGTTTTAAGAAGCAGTGCTTTTTATCTAAATATCCTTTGCTTACCCTAAATTGTTTCAAATCATAGTATCTAAAGTTTTCTTTTATTGCTGGAATTAACAGCTTTAATTTTATTTTGAAATCTGGGTTCTTATCCCAGTCATTTATAAATACAAGTCATTTAAACACTTAAGTGTGGACTCATAAACAGAAAGGCTACTAACAGGACTTCAGATTTAACACTTTATATTAGGTGAAAATAAATTAGTAAATATACAGAAGTTGAGTCTAAAAAAGAATCTCTAGTAAATCATAGAAATATGAAACTCCTATAGATCCCCACTGAATATTGCCAGAAGTCAGAAAATGCTAAGACTGTTAAATGTGAAGACATGAGCTGGACTCGTTAACAGGATCCCTCATGAAGAACCTGTTACCCAAAAGCAGCCCTATTCCCCTTCTCCTTGGTGTTTCAAAAAGCTTAGTCATCGTAACCAATCACTAGAATTACTGGAACACTTCCTGAACACCCCCAAATCTACAAAGCCTATGTAACAAGGTATTTTAGGCAGCAGCTTCCTGGACTTTTTGAGTCAGAATGTTAGTGTAAGGGTGTGTACTACACACAAAATAGTTTTTAAAACACAGTCTAAGTTTGCTTCCCAATTCAATACTACTAACTGATGTATCAAAGATGACAAATGAAAGTATCCTTTTATTAATTTTAAATTAGCCAAAGCCGTTTTGGCCATATCTTTGGAACAACAGTTTTTTTCACACATGGTATTTGATATAGGACATGAATAAAAACTCTTGACAGATACTAAATAGCAATTGATTTATTGCCTTAATCCTCAAATTCAGTTCACTACCAACCCACGTGCAAATCTCTTCTCTCGTGCTTTATCTTTGCTCAACAAATGAAAAATAAAGGTAAAACCTATTCCTTATTCCCTATACCTCTGCCCTGTTTGCTTATTCACTACCCAACCACCCTGGCTCTCTTACACAGTTTACAAATCCACCAGAGCGCCCACAGCGTCATTCCTGTAAGTACTGTACATTTTGTTAAAACTTCCATTTGGCAGGTAAATACGCAACCTAGTATTTTAGGAGCTCCACATAGACATGCTTTTAAGGCCAGTACATACAAACACACGCCTGTGACAGCAGTGGAGTTTTCTGAGTCCCCACACCTTCTTACGACTTATTACATAGCCTTTTGTGATAAAAATAGAAACCATTAGTCTTCATGACTACTAGTAAGTGTTCACTGACCTTCAAAACCAAAACTTGGGGGAAAATGCTGTCAGTGTTACAGATAAAGACCTAGATGGTTCTTCCTTTATGTGGAAAGGGCACGAATGAAGAAAACTCACCTCAAGATAGCAGACTACAAAAAGGAGCAGACTTTCTGGGGTCTGAAGGGATTTGTGCTGGAAGACACTCCGGTCAGCAGAGGGTCATGTTGAGCATTCTGCAGACAGAACTGTTTCAAGTCTGCAGCTGCCTGGGAAACCTATAAATAACAATGAGTGGAGAGATGTCTGTTGGTCTTTATATGGCTGAAAACAAACAGCCCTTCAAAATCGACAGCTAACAGTTCTATACTGGCTTATACTTAAAACAGTAAATGAAACTGGTTTGTGATATTTTTTCTACTTACTGTAAGCATCAAATTATTCAACACAAAGCATAATCCCACTTCTCTGTGAGGCACAGCATGTCTTGTTTTTATATGACAGGCTGTTAAACAAGCCCCAACACCTTGGTTTGGGGAGCATAGGATTTGTTTTGTCTTTTGTAACCCAGGCTGGCCTTAAACTTTTTATGTAGCAAACAGCCTTGAATGTTTGCTGGGATTAAAGGCCTGCCTCATCAAGCCCAGTTTATGCAATGTTGGGATCCAACTCAGGACTTTCTGTATTCAAAGGCAAACACTAACAACTGAGTTCCCAGCCCAATAGCTTGTTGGTTTTTTTTTTTTTTGTTAAAAGTAGTATGTAGTATTAGTAGTTCAACAAAAAACTGAACATTAAAGGGAAACTGTCTTGAAAGCAAACTGGAAATGCCCATGAATGTCTAAGGTAACACAGAACTCAGACAACCAAACACTTCATTATATTCTTCAAATTTATAGCCATCCATATACTATCTTGCATTTAAGAAAGACATGCATTCATTCAAGCATTTACCCTTATGCATATATTCTGCTTAGGAAATATAGAACATCAAAAACAACACTGAAATCCTATTTGGATTGCACATATACATGTAATAACACTGCCAAATCACATCTGAGCAAAAAAGTGTTTCTTAAAGACAGGCTACTCAGCAAGGTTGACCAACTGGGCCTGAGTTTGTTTGATTTCCAGAACCCACATATAGGTGGCAAGAGAGAAGAACCTCTGTAAGTTTGGTCTCTTACCTATCTCCCCAAATGCACCATGCGTACACAATTTTCTTTTTAAATTAAAGCTGTTAAACTAAGGTACACTTAGTTTTTCAAGTCACATGAAACAGGGCAGAAGGTTGTCTGTGTCAGGTTTTATAACTGTAACAGCTGAGTTCGAAGCCAGCCTGGCTACATGGTGAAACTCTATCTCCAACTAGCTGACTGAATACAGATACCAACACAACAAACAATGCTATATAGGCCAAGCATGACTAGGAATGCACAAAAACATCTAATTCCCTTATTTACTTTATCCTCACTCAGCTATCTCTAGGGTGATGACAACAAATGTCTGTTACCCTGATGTGCCCTTAACAGTTAACAGACAACTCTCAATCAAAAGCCCCTCAGATAACAGCTATGTTGTAAACTTATCCTGGGGTAAGTCTGTTTGACTTATACAGCAACTCAGGACAATAAGTCCTGAATATAAGACTCTGAATATAAGAGCTTTGCCTCTTAAAAGTAGCTACTGTATGGAGGATAAAGTACCAGTGTTCACAATGTTATGCCATTTGGCTTTGTTCGCCTTCATCAGAAAAGCCCAAGTGCCTGCCTGTTCATTCCTTTCCCACAATGTTTTCAAGTGCCATTATGTGTGGAATATACTTCTCGGCATGAGACTAGCACAGAGCAGGGATATACTAATGTTACCTGACTAACAGTGCAGTAAAGAGTGCTGGGATGACTGACATTTTAGCTGGGATGTCAACGGTAACAAACCTAGCTCAATAACCACAGTGAAAACACAGCACTCTAAACAGGAACCTTGAGAGTCAAAATGGAAATGCTGCTAGTGCCCACGACAGAGTAACGGTTAACATCCAGGAGGCTGACACTGTGAAACTATTAGTCAGGATTCCAGATACCCTGTCCTACCTCTGTGAGTTTGGTGAAGCGCTTGTAATTACCAACTAAACAAACACAATAGTAAGTTCATGCTAGCTTTAAAATACCCAGCATAAGCATGGCATGGATGATGTTAAATGGCACCTAATCTAATTTAGGAACCGAGGAAAAACTCATTTACAATTCCTGAGTGAGATGTGCTTTGCCATGAGAACTCCAAAAATGTGTCTATTTGTGGTGGTTTAAATGATCCCACTCAGAAGCCTTAGGGAGAATTAAGATGCACAAGGCAAGATCACGCTAGGAGGTAGTCACTTGGAGGTAGCCCCAGAGCAGCTAGGCTTTTCAAGGAAAAGGAAGCTCTTCAGTCTGTGAGCTCATTGCTTTGGCCACCAGGGCTAAAGGTCACGGCTGTAATTACTGCATTCACCTGGTTTTCTTTTCCTCCCCAACCCACTGTTTCTCCTTCCGGGCCTACAATCATACATCATACAATCATACATCAAGCAATAGATTGCTTCAAATTTCAGAGTTCTATCTGGCCAACAGATCTGAGTAAGTCACTTGGATGAGGTGTGAATTTGATTAGGGAAATGGAGTCCAAACCAAGACTGATGGGCGTCTCCCTGACCTCCTAAGGTTACCACAAGGAAGTTAAGCAGTCTCTTACATTTCTACTCGGGGAACCTACGTCGAAGTTCTCTCCACAAAGCACGGTGGAAATTAAGACTAGCCTGCCGAATATAAAATCAAATCACCTTGGGAACTGAGAGCTTCTAGCAGGGAGATTTATATTCTCCTTTCTTTTTATACTCATGGGAAGTGTAACCCGACCTATTGCATGAGAAAGACGCCAGTCTGTTTAGGATTTTAAAAATAAGCAAACAGTCCTTACAAAAGCGTTTGAATGCCTGGTTGTCTATCAACACGGACAGAAAGTCTTTCCCCAAAAGTCAACAGTCCAGGACAAGGCAATCCTAACAGACGGCAAAGTTAGACCAGCCCAGGCCGGCGCTAATCAGTTGCTCGGGGCGTGTGAAGCAGTACAGAGCCCAGCAAGGTCAGATCCCAACGAACCGTGCCAGCCGGTTCGGGACACCTCTTTGTTCGAGGCTGAGACTGAGCGAGGGTGGTGTCCTAAGGCTCCGGGACGTTCCGCAAACTGACTGGCACGCTAAGCCGTAGTCTGAAGCCACCGAACAGCCTCGAGAAAGTCCAAAGGCCAAGCAGGGGCCGTGAGCTCGGTGAAGATCGGGGTGAGAAGTGGGGCTCGATGAGTGGCGAGGCTCGGTGTGCGGGGCGCCCCGCGGTGGCAGACTCGGAGGAAGGAAGGGCGGGCGGGCTCAGCCCCCTGCCGCAGCCCAGGGCCGACCGAGCGCCAGTCGCCGCGTGTCCGCCCGCCCGTTCTTGCGGGGTGGGGAAGCGCG